TTGGGACCTCAATCCTTGTGAACGATGAAGGAGTTCTGGATTCTGTGGCTCGGGTTCCATGATGAACGAACCTTCGAGTATGGCAGGTCATGGCATCTTCCTGCGTCTGTCGTGGGACATAATCTACGCAGGGCCGGCGGCAAGAATAAGAATTTCTTGGCTAACTAACATTAGACTATTCTTCTCCATCGAAGACGCGAGAAGTTCCACGGACACCTTGTCATCTGTGGAACAGACTGGACCGGGAGAGGTGTTAGAGTGTTGTACTGCAAGTAGAGTGTTTCACAACTCGGGCTGGCAACGCGGCTCACGAAGCCCGGATGCTAGTGCCGTGAGAAGCAAGCTGCCTGGGGGGCCTTGGCGCAGCCCCTTTTCAGATATTTTGCAGATTACGACGGTCTGCAAAGTGAAGCGATGTCGGAGCCAAGGCCCAGGCAACAGAAGAACAGTGAGAAACACTTCCTGATAGCATGAGCTGACAGTTTGCACTTCCAGGCCAAGCCCGTCCCCAATAAGCTAGTTTGAAAAAGCTGAACCCTCAACACTCTACTGAGAATCAAAGCAACCATCTGGAAATCCTTCCAAAATGCTAGTCACACTCCTCGTCTGGCAAGTCCGTGTTGTGAAAGAGTGCCGATTTAGACCATCCGCCACGACCACCAAGCATCCTCGCACACGAGATTCTACAAGGCAGTAACTACGTGACACAGATACACACATGCAATGAGCCTGACCCGCCTTTCGCATGATCTTGGTGCGCAACAACTGCAGACCTGCATTTGTCATCAGGGTTGTGGGATGAAGCTGGTCGATTCCGGACAATTTGTGACAAGAAAAGCTGAGGGAATGCTCACAGCACATGCGCCCAATCCCGCCGACTGAATTTCAAAGTGTGTCACGACACGAGAAGTGGTATTTTGAGCGACTCCAGCAAGGGGACGAGGCATGACTAGTGCGAAGCGTCGCAGTTGCGATTGAGATAAGGATTTGAATTCAGCTCATTTGGCAGCGGGAACGTCGGCAGCACTGGATACCATTGTTCCATATCTGCTGGCCTCTGCATTGGGGGCGGACGTTTCAGCAGCTGAGCTTATTCTGGCGTGGATTCCTTGATAATCTGCAAACGATTCAACTAAAATCATGCAGTGTTAGTCTTGCTGGACTAGAAACTAGAAAGCCGCCAGCCAAGGAAGTCGGCGCGCACAAGGTCGCCTGGCAGAACCATTGGCTGATTTCGGCAGCGTATGGCTGCGTGTACCTCCCATCCCATGTCCATCTCAATCTCAGCCAAGACAGGCTGGCCTCCAAGAGCTTACCGAGTCCTGACATTGTCTCACGACAACTCTTTCAACCGAGTGCAGGGGAAGTTCCATGACCTGGGTCCAATTTGCAGGCAGTCTCTCAGGCTCTCATTGGCGGGGGAGGAAGGGAGGTCGAAAGTCTTGGAATTCTTTCAGGTAGGTGCGCGGCCCAGCCCGAAGCCCACCAGCCCCAGCAAGGTTGCTATCATAACAGATGCTCCTGGAAGCTCAGCTGTGTCAGCGGCAGTTGTTTCTGTTCATGTCCGTTGTTCTGCTATGCATTTCCGTACCCGAAGTGAAGCTAAGGCTTGGGAGCACAGCCTGCGGAGCTCGCAGGCAGGCCTTGGTCATTTTCGCTACAAGTTCTTCAGACCTGTTCGGCAGCCGGGCCGCCCATGCACAGCTGGTAGCCGTAGCGCCGTTTTCCCAGCTGGGGCACTGTGCTGGCAAGGGCAGGGCGGCGGCATCCTGCACTTCGATCTGGCCTTTGCGCTTGACTTAATCGCGACTTCTGCAACAGTGCTGTCCGAAGTCCGAACGCTTTGGACTGGAGCTCAGGAAATATGCGGCCCAGCAGCTGCTTTGCAGGCCACAGTCGGGAACTATCGTAGCGTTCCGAGTCCACCTGCCGAGTACGTAGTGTTCTAGGAAAGTTACTGACAAGTCGTTGCAGCCGGCATGCCTGTCAACAGATGCTACTTGACAACGAACCTGCACATGCGCACGGCATGTCTGCAGACTTCAACAGATGCTTGCAGCATGCCATGTGGAGTGTGATCATGCTGTGAGCGGTCAATCATCGAAGGATGCCGTGTCGGACAAGCGTGGCTTCGAGCACCGCTTTGCTCGGACAGCGGCAGAGAAGTACGAGGCGCAAAGCCGCTGAGTGCTCGTGTTTGTGTGTGTGCAGCTCCAGGATGCAAGGAGTACCTTGCTAATTAGGTGCTATGCATAGTCGCAGAGGGCAGAGGGATCCTGAGGCGGGGCCGCGGTGATTATCATCGAAAAGAACGTGAACTCAATCGTGGAAGAGATGAGCCCTAACAAGCCAGACAATGCTCTTGTAGGCCATCCGCTTCATTCATACTGAAAGAGCGCGATGTAACGATCATGGTCTGCGACTGTGTTTGCCGACAGTACTTCAGTCGGACTCCGAGTCGGGGAAATGACTGAATACATCTGACGATCCTCGCGAATGAGCCTGCCAGTCCAGAGCTCCGAAGCCTCCGCCCGAAGTGGAACCCCCTGAGTCCTACAAGCCAATTTTGCGAGCAGGTCTTGCCCACTGCAACAAGTGTTGTAAAGCCAGCCTCAGCGTCAGTGTGTGGCAGTTTTGGGAAATCGTTGTAGACTTTCCGCGAAAGCTCTGGGACAGATGCCGGGAAACACGCCCCAGCTTTTGCAAGGCCATGGCTCGACTACAAAGCAACAGCCATCACTGTCCTGGTCCTGGTGTATCAAATCGCAGACCATTATACTACTCCCACCACTACTAACTACTACTGCTACTACTGCTGCCGCTGCCACTGGCACTTCCGGCGCTACCACTACGATGACGATGATTATGACTACCACCAACTCGAGGACAGCAACAGATATTGTTCTTTCCAGTATTCTTTCCTTGTAATCCTTAGTGTGACTCTTTTCCAAATACGTGTGTGGGTGTGTGAGAGGGAGAGAGAGTGTGTGTGTGTGTGCGTGTTTGTTTGTTTGTTTGTTTGTCTGTGTTGTAAACCCCTCTTTGCAAGTGCCATTGCTTGGCTTCAAAGCTTTGCTGCGGGATAGCATGCCGCGTCGACACCCGTGCAGGCTTTTGCAATCTCCACCATTCGGCTGCTGACTCTGGAATCGTTGTACAGCACAACAAGCGCAACTTGCTTGAGAATCTCACGGCTTTAAATACTTTCAAGTTTAGCCTAGGTTTTCGTTCTGACGGTCAGCCTGATATAGATTCGCAGCAGAGTTCGGAGCAGAGTGTCATTTACGCAGTGTGTTGAAGCAGTGCCGACCTGTTTGCAACATGGCGAAGGGCACATGTTTACTGCACGTGATGGAGCTTTGGTTCTCTTGATATCTCTTGATGGATGCCCCGATGCTACCCAGCTAAGCATGCAAACTAGGGTCTAGCACCAGCCCCTGTTGTCAGCCACGGGTCAGCTACGGTTACACTTAGTGCCCACTTGCAGCTTAGCCGCTTTCCGTCATCTCGGTGTTCATGCCGAAGTTGGTGCTTCGTGGTCTGGCGAGTTGCTTCATGTCAAGGAGGCCACCGTGGTCAGCACCCAGGAGAATGACAGACCCGGCTCGACTGGAGCTGAGGACCACAAGAAGCGGATTCGTTGCAGGGCGGATGCACGCGCCATGTATTGACAAGGGAAGCAAGCCCAGCACGGGCATGAAGCTAAGATCGGCTAAAAACATAGTGGATCATAGAGTGCCTGTTTGTGAGCGAGAGAACATGTGTGTGTGTGTGTGTGTGTGCGTGTGTGTGTGTGTGTGCTGTGCGTGTGTGTTCTGTGTGTGTGCGTGTGTGTTCTGTGTGTGTGTGTGTGTGCGTGTGATGATAGTATCACGACATGCCGATATGTCGCGATAACGCGACGGGAAGAACAATTTGATAGACTCACTTGCACAGATGGAAGAGCTCGGCGGTCTTCGTTCTTCATTTGTTCACCTGCCTGCTTGCTAGAGTTTCCAGCCGGGCACGGGCCCTTAGATATCAACATGTCAACATGTGGCTATTGAGAACTTTATGCATTTACCCTTGTTGTGTTAGGCCGTGGGAAATGTTCGTGCAGCATCTACAGGCATCGGCCACTGCCCCGCTCACCCAGACCCACCAGCCGGGATAGAGGGATCAAAAAACATCAAACACAGAGCAAAACATACCAATACTCTGAAACGTTATACGTAACAGTAGTAGGACCATAGATCAGAACGGCTCCTAGTCATCTAAGCGGGACATCGCAATGTTCGGCTAGAGTGGCTCTATTGCTATTATTGTACTTGTTGCATGTTCATGATTATTACGAGTAGTACGATTACCGTTGCCGTGACTATCAGGTTATCGGTCAGCATTTGAAATAAGATTATTGTCACGTTTCGGCGTTACTGTTACCGTTACTTGTTGCCGTTATTGTTACTGTCACTATGGAATACGCATACTGCTACAGCCCGCTGCCTTGAAAGTTTGGACTCAAAGGGGCAAGCTAGAAAGCTTGGGAAGCTGAACACATGGGCGGCAACCTATGTGAGGGCCCCTGAAGGAGCAGCCTACATTTCTTGAGCAGTTCTGGTGGCTTCCATGGCTTGGTGCCTGGGCCGAACATCAAAGTCTGTGGGGGGCGAAGAGAATCGGCACTTCTGACGCTGCCCAGGATGTGCCACAGCAACCTTCGCCCCTTGGCTCGAGGAAGCTGAAGCAGCTCTTTCACTCACCGCAGCGCTGGTAGCCAGGAAAGGTCTCGTCACACAGCCAGGTCCAACTGCTGTGCCGTGCCATTCTGGCTCTCATTGCTGCTCCAAGAAGAGTTCTCTCCATCCAAAGCACGGGATTAAAGACATGAGTTTGGGTTTGTGCGAAAAGTATTCACTCATCATCACACCTTCAGAATGTCTATGCAAGAAGAGCAGTCCAGGGTAATTTGCACAAGCGTCGACAACTACCGGCGCATGTCTCACCGCAAATGACCACACTCGATGGCTGAGGCCCGCTTGCATTAATTAGGATTGTCCTTCCAGATTCGGAGTTTGCAGCTGCAAGCTCCTTGGTTAGACTCCAATCAGGCTGGCTTTAAAGCTAGAAACAACTCCTGTGCATGCTGAGTCTCGGTTGCCTCTGCTTGAGGACACCTCTGCATCAGAAGTTCGGCCTGAGGCGCAGGAGGACGGCAAGTCTGTGTTTATCTGGATGTTCATATTCTTTAAGACAAACATACAATATTTAATATTATAGTTAAATTTCCATAAATGTAACCCAAGTCGTAACAAGAAACGTCCGAGCACATGGTAGGATCTGTCCCGGCGCTGCAAGCAGAACTGCTGTGACTATCACTCGTGGTCCTTGGCAGTTCCAACTAGCTTCTAGCCGGCAGGCTGGCACCGAGCACTTTGACGCTTCACTTCCTGGCAGCACGGTGGCTGTGCCACCTATTTGGACGAATGAAGATGGCCGGACACACTGCATGTCCCCACACGACATCCAGCATGAGTACTTGATGCTTCCGTGGGTTTCGGGATAGCTAGATGAACTATCGCCAAGAGACCGCCAGCTAGCTTTTCGATTAACAAGTCTTCCCCACTCCTGATCGTCCTGGTTCATGTTGCTTCTCATGATTCCGTCGTCATTGTTGCTTGTTGCTGCCACGCATGAAACCTGCACATGGGCAGGCAGCTTTCGAACGCAGCCAGACATCCCCGCTCCGCCACCGCGGAAGCCGCCTCCTCTGCGGAACTCCACAATTGCACCCTGGGTCCTTGCACTTCGGCCCAGCTTATCCGAGCGCGGGCTCTCGTCCCTCAGGGTTTGCGTTTGCGATGGTATTTCGCCAAGGCAGCCCGCCAGGCGGACATAGCGCAAGCCAGAGAGGAAGAGGCACAGAACGGCTTGAAATTGCGATTCTTTTGAGGCTGTTCGACTTGCACGCGCAGCCATCACATACAATTCATACAATAAACTTTCCAACTCAGGAACTAGAGGTGGACTACGATGAGTATGGATCTGGTGGAGGGTCCCCCCGCTCCGCAGAAGGAGCATCAACGGATTGGGGTTGGCGGGGTTCAGCACATAGCTGATCGCTCAACGGCAGCATGGCACTGCTGGAGATAGTGCTTGTTGTAGTGGCCATGGGATCCCGTTTTTGATTCTGCAATCCGCAAGTGGTCTGCGCCTCTCTCATTGGTGGCATGCTTGGGAAGGCCATTTGTCTCGTGGGCAGGATCTCAGCTCTCAAGTGCTGAAATGTCACAAGGCTCTGCTTATGCCTCCATGCCTTACAGAGCCTCGGCGACAGCCTGCAGCACACATCGGCATATGCACATGTGCACGCATGCACACTTTGCAGCGCCTCTTTGACCCTTCAAAGCTAAAGCTGAGGCGTTGATAGCCAGCCGCCTGTGGACCCGGATGCGAACTACGGCGGAGTCACCCTTTCTCAGCTCGAGGAGTTCCTGGCAGTTCGTAGCTTGAAAAGGAAACGGAAGGAAATGCGGCGCAAGACCTTTAGACCCTGCCTATGCTGTGCACCAAGGTAAAGGCATGCGGACAGCTTGTGGCACCTTGCCGATGACTTTCGCAATTTGGCAGCGGGCTGAGTTTCCTGGCGGTTCCGTGCGCCCTGCCTTGTGACTCTCCTGTGGCAGCCGGGGCCGACTGACAGGATAATTGAAGTTGGACCAGCATCAGTGTCGCCTAGGGTCACTGGATCTGCTAAGGCTGGCCTACGTATTGCTGGTGATCACCATGGGAGAAGCGGAGGGGCCTTTCCAGACGGCGAACATTCTGAAGGAGGAGATCAGCGGAGCCCGTGCACACCGGCCGGACTCGATGGGACTGAACAGAACTTTTCGGTTGCATGAGATGCATGACTTGGGTGATATTGGATGGTGGATGAAGACGGCTTTGGCTCCGACCATCGATCCCCAAAGCAGTCGCATGGACAATGCAGTGAAAATTGTGCCTTGGCTTTTCCATGTTTATGCTGATCTGGTCTGAAAGTGAGATCTGGTATGATCCGGGGCCATGCATGGGAGCCATGCATGTCTTAGGTGGGCTTTGCGAGAGTCACTCAGTTGAAGGGCACGATGGTTGAATGCGACGGCTTGACATCCAACCTTAAGCGATTCTATCCTGGTGTTTGCTACCCTCCCGCATCTCCGGGCACTGTGGTGAGGCTCGTCAAGCAAACAGCGTTGGTCAGAGCAACTTCAAGCAACTCAGCCTTTTGAAAAGCCAAAGAAGCTGAGAAATTCATTCGGGCCCGCCGACGTCGATGACGCCTTTCAGGCTGTGCGCGGAACTTTCCTGGGGACCATCATGTAAGAAGCTTGTTCCGCGATGGTAGTCGCTTGAAGGCACTGGGTCCGCAACGACCTGTCGGGGAGTTCGAGGCTTGGTTGGATACAGGCAGGCGACCATCTCCACACAGTCGAAATGATGTCTGGTCAGCCGATGCTAAAGCTTCCCTGCTTTTGCCCCGGCAGGACGCCCTGTCACCGAAGTGCAATCGCGGGTTGACAGTCTCATTGACAATGACTGGATAGATAGATTGACGCAACCTGACCTTTTTGATGCCTTACAAGCGTGATGTGCCGTGCATGTGGCTTGGACCCTGCAGCACCCAGTTGTCTTCCAGGCAGCACCTCACGATGGATGCGTTTTTCGTGAATTTGCAAACCAACGTTTATGTGCGAATCCGGCTGCTTATGGTGGTTCACAGAGAGGGCCTCATCGAGAGCAGCTTGCGCGTGATTCCAATGAAAGCATCTTTGCTGCAAGTGTACGGTCGCAGAAAATGGTCAAGTGGCTCTTTGGGCATGCGGATTTCCTATAATCTGTCCACTTCAGGCAGAAGTGGTTACGCACTGGTCGCACATATTTCTGAACTTATGCTTTGCGTGCCTTGCCTGCAGCCACGCTCTGCGAAACTCCAAGCTTGAGCAGAACAGGCTATTCTGAGATGGGCAAGTCCAGCTGACAGTTGCTATGGACGAAGTAGAAGCTGGAGAATTTTTCGTGCCTTGCACCCAAGGATTTTGCTGTCTGTGCAGCTCCTGTGGTTCATGCAGCAGTGCCTCACGGAATACAAGCGAGGGCTTTGGAAGCTGCCGCTTTGCAGCAGACGGGTGTATGTTGCAGTATCTTTAGCCGCTGCGGGGAATGTCTCCGCACACACTTTCGCACCATGGTCAGGCATTTTTGGGATATCTGGACATGGCTGGACATGGTGTCGATTCTTGTGGCGCTGGCATCTTGCCAGCTTTGTGCAGCCTGAGCAGTAGTGGTTCATTTGTGCTCAGCATAACTAGGAAAGCCGAGGTCATCGTCTTTATGGCTCTAGCCTTCGTGGTGGACACGCAAAACTTTACCGTCATGGTTTCTGACTTGGGCGACATGCCGACCTGGTCGGTGTTAGAAGCACCCGCAGCTCGTAAAGTGCAGGCGATTCTGCAGAATCGAGAGTATCGGAACAAGGCCGGCTTCGGCTCAACTTGTGTGTGTGTGTCAAAATTTTGCGAGGTCGCACCACAGGTGTTGCGGCAGAGGTTTGAGTGGCTCTCCCCACTTGGTCATGACGGGACAAGCGAAAGGGGATGATACAGAAAAGCCTGCTCCCACCCAGCAAACGCCTCCCAGCCACCAGCCCTCTTTAAAGAGTCCCATGCCCTGCGTTCGAACAACGTTATGCCTTCTGTCTGGCCCACCAACAAACAACTTGAAGGATGTTAGCAGTACCTCCTATCAGGGTTCGTTGAAGCTCGTCGGTTCGGTCCAAAATGTTAAAGGTAGAAGGTCAGATTCCTGTAGTATTCTGCCATCACGTGGATATGATGCTGATGCTTCTCGCTTCGCAAATCCGAAAGCACGGTGCGACGTCATGTCCTTACGTTGTATCTGTAAGTGGCGATGTCTGTGTATCAGGTTCAACCTTGTGTATTGCACATCGCAGAAGCAACAGCATGGAAGCACAGCAGGTTGACCGAGAGCGGCAGACGTTCGAAAGTTTGAGCAGAGCAGTCTACAGTACAGCTTACAGTGTATATGAGACCCGTTCCTTTTTCTTTCTATCTCTCTCTCTCTCTCTTCCCCTCGCTTTGTCTCCATATGTATACATGAAAGGCGCGCACACACACACACAACCCAAATTTCGGGTATTAGGAAGATCTCAGCCAGAATATGGAGGCTTCTGTAAGGCCCGAAAACTGAGGGTCATCCTCCAAGACCGGAAGTAGGGGAGAGAGAGCGCTCACCGAAGGTACCTGGGTGATCACTCGCGTTGCGGGCCTTTATTTGGGGACAGGGCAGCTTTGGAGTTGCTAGGTTTTCCTACAAGCGAGGGCAAGGGACATGCACTGTCAAACGACGCATGGATGTGTTCACTCCCTCAGTGCTCCGAACTTCTGGCGGTCTTTGACAACGTCCTCAGCGTGAGCCTATGGTTGCGGTTCATGACTGCCTGGTACGCGGCAGCTTGGCCGAATCGGCTCGTGTTTCCAAAGCTCGTGAATAATTGCTGTTGCCGGTGCATGGGATGAGGTTTGCCTATGCCTCCGTTTCTATCGTGGCTTCACTGGGCAGCCGCGCACTTCCGTGATATTGCAGTCAGCGCTTTGCCTGCCAGGGATACGTTTGCTTCTTGGGTTTGAACTTGTGGTGTGAAATTGTGTGCATGAGCCTGCGTCCAGTCGCCTCACAGGTGCTGTACATGTCGAACCTGTTCTTGCATTACTTGGCACCTTGGCACGGCACAAAGTGTGACTGTCGGTCGTTCAGCAGGGTTGAGCACTTCAACAGACGCAACCAGCAGTCTCCTGCTTATCGTGCGTTATCTCCCCACAGACTCCAAGGCACTGCAGACACCTTGGCATGTTGTCAGGTCAGCTTCGCACACATTTGGCAAAGCGCAGTGCGATGCCGTCGACGAGTCTATAGCTGTATACTATACGATGTGTAGCGTAAGGTGCGCGGTAACGGTCGCCCAGAGACTTACTTGCCAGTACCAGTGGTAGGACAGAAACGCGTCGGCACTGTGTTGGGTGCTTTCGCTGTTGAAGTGAGCGAAGTCTTCAGCATCCTGAAATTCGGGCCCTGGTCGGGTCACTCCATGCAGCGTGCCGCATCAGTCCCTCAAGAGCTGGGACAAAGAAGTGGGTTTAGAGGCCTGCGTTCAAGAGTACAGGAGTCCTGTCACTCCCAAGTAAGGCGTCGTAAACACCCAAACTCTGATCACTCTTCTTCTATGTAGTTCCACGATGCTCAGGTGACCACACCACACAACAATCAACATCAGGGTCTGCCGTGTTTGTGCCGTGAGCCTGACGGGCCTGCACAAGTACCGCCTAAAGGACATGCGATAAACCAGGCTCGGCTGAAGCCTTCGACTGGAACTACTAGCTACTCGTAGGAAAGGAAGACAGTGATTCCATTATTGACACGTGTCCAATCGGCAGCAACAATTTTCCAATTTAGCGACAGCTTCCTAGGTCCTAGGATGCAGGAAACGGAGCAGCTATGTAGTTCATTCTCCCTTCGAAGAAAAACACGTCGCTCTGTGCCAAGGTTGTATTTCTGGTGGTGTGCGGCAATTTCGCACTGAGTGGATACATCCTTTTTGGGGAGCAAGTGCCTGCTTGGTCCACTTTTGGCGGCTCTGTCATAACTCTGACTCAAGTAATGCTCGGGGAGTTTGACTATGACGCGATGCGAAATGTAGCCCCTGTTCTCGCAATGATTTGGTGGTGGAGCTTCTTCCTGTCTACGACTGTGGTTCTTTCCCGGGTGTTAACTGCAGCTGTGCTGCAGCTTTTCTTGGAAGTTCGCCAGGCTCTGGGAGAGCCAGGGATTGGGCTACCACGACAGATCCTGGCTGTTGCTAAGAACTTGTGGTATCAGAGGTCTTATGAAGGGTCCATGAAGAGTGTTCCTGACGATGATCTCTTGAATATGCTGGCACAAGACTTAGACCCGGCTCATGTGAAGAAGTTGATGCAAATGAAAACAGACCGACGGCTTTGCACGCGAGAAGATCTGGCAAAGGCCGAGAAGGACATCAAAGTCGATGTGGAGTTTTTGACAAAAAGAGGCATGGACCCCCTCGGTGCCGAGCGCCTCATCGAGAGAACGGCCAACTGGGCTCTCAACATTTCGACAACAACCTCGGCCACCAACCGCCTGATGCTCCTCGTTGCTAAGCAGATGGAGTACATCACCACCGAGGCAGATCGAATCCAGCGCAAGATCCGGACGAGGATTGACCGGGCAGCGCAGTCGGCAGACCGGGTGGATGTTAAGCACGCCAAGTGTGCGGCCCTTGCGAAGCGACTCCGTCGTGCACAGCAGATACCTGCAGGCTGGACAGCCCACAGAGACGAAAACGGCCGCAGGTACCTCCGCCACGAGGAGAGCGGGCTGACTTCCTGGACGTTGCCAAGAGCCCTGATTTGATTTCTTCCTGCTAAAGGCACTCCTAAGGAATTGACGGGGCGGAGCGGTTTCACCTGGTGCCCGACGAGATCGACAAGCTTAGAAGGTACAAGACAATCTGAACAGTGAGATCGTCGGATCATCACGTAGTTTGCTAGTGTCCATGTTTCCAATATTTGGAACTGCGGCATGTGCATGAGCTCAGCGTGTCTAGCACATATTGCAAGATGCGGAGAGTAAGGCCTGTTTACTAGGCATTAGAACATGAAAGCCGTGTTTTTTGTCTTGTCTGTTCGTGTTTCACGGGGTACGGCCCTGCTGCGCTCATGAATTTATGTGGGCAACCCCCAGTGTGCTTGCGCTGGGGTGACAGCTTGAAGAAAACAGGAAAACAGAGCAGCTGCAACGTTCTGTCAACGACTCTCAGCATGTGCACATGCCAACTGTCAATTACACAAGAGCTGATGGTGGTTGTGAATTTCGCACAGCAGAGTGCTTGAAAACTCGGTAATTGCGCTCAAGTAAACAATGCTTCGTTGCTAGGCTGCTGCTTGCACGTGGCTCATTTTTCGCTTGAGGCTCGCATGCAGTTATGAAGCATATTGCCATGATGTTCTGCCTAGCAGAATCGAGAGTGCCGGAAGAATTGTTGCCACGCATGGTTGTCTCGATGAGGCGGAGGTACAAGAAAGAGCCGACCCCGAGCTTCGATGGAATCTCGAGGCTTCGACAAAGCGACAGACGGGGAATCAACTGAAACTCACAAATATGTGTGGGCTCGGCTAGACTTGACATAGGAAACAAAACCAGGACGACGGTACCACATGCGACATGGAATGCGGACTCCCAGGCACAGTCCAAGCCCATCGCGAGATGGGCAAGAACTATCACACGCACGCGCACACAGATAGACACACCACACTGGCGACATATTGTTACTATGGCCTCGACATACGGCCACGAGTTGGATTTGTACAAAGAAGGTCAGCTCTGCAATTCTCACAAGTGATCAGACTTGGAGTTTTTTCTACAACTATGGACAAGACGAATCGCTTGAGGTCTGGAAACATCGGGGGTCTCAAGCCAAGTTTGGATGTAGACGGGAAATGTAGCCGGAAGGCCGTCGCCTTGAACATGTCAGACCGGCTTCTGAGAACGATTGAGAACGCATGCAAGCTGTAGCGGGAGATTATTACAGAAAAAGGAGGCTGCTGCCAGCAGGCAGCACAGACATTGTCTGATGAAGCAAGCTGCGCTTGCGGAGGAAGCACCAACAGACAGAGTCTGGCTTGGAGAATGCGAAACAGATGCACGAGCAGTCCAAAATGCATGCTAGCCAGTCGACACAAGAAAGCGAACGGGGCATCGAAGCATTGGTTCAGCGCAGAGGCGTCAAAATTCGCTCAAGTGTGAGGTCAGCTCTGGATCTGCCAGATCCAGGATGGGCATGGCAGCGTCGCTTGTCGCTACTGGTAGCTGTGGACGCTAGCGACAGCGATCTCGTCGCACCATGTCGCACCGAGGTGACTACTATGCCTGTGCCGTGCATGCCTTCGATCCGGAGGAGCTAGCGACGACACGGCATGCATAAGCTTGTGTTCGGTGGCGAGACGTTTGGATCCTTTGCCGAGACCCAAAGGCCAGACTAGGCAGTAGTACTCCCGCAGCTCGGCAAATGCCAGAGGACATCTGTTGACCTTGATTGATAGAGTTCGATTCGGTTTCGCAAATGCTGCACAGGTAGTGATGAAGCTCACCCGCATGCCCAAACCGTAAAAATGTCTCAAGAGAGCTGCTTCAGAAAATGGCCACGTCACACGCAATTAAAAATGAAACCAGAAGGCGCAGCAAGCTGCAGAAAAGCTGGGTAAGCAAAGACAACCCTTTGCCGTGGCGGCGGCTCTTGGCAATGGGGCCAAGTGCTTTGACTTAGGGTATCGATGCAACAGAAAGATGAAACGAGTCGTTGATGCACAGTGGGTGCAGTGCCGGAGAAGCCTGGAGTGCCCTAAGTCCCGGGTGTTGGCTTTCGCAGAGCAGACAGTGGCAACCGAGGCAGTCTCTCCTGTTTTCCTTCTCTTTCGGTCGCGAAGGGTCGCCAGCCGCGGCGAGCGTTTTAAGGTTGGCATCCGGAAGAACAGTAGGTAATTGCACGCTGCATCAAACGACAATCACTACAAATAGGGCCGAAGAGAAAATAAACTCAGACGCACCAGGAGACTCAGCTGGGCAGCTCGGCACTGCGATTTGAGGAAGGCGACCTTCTACAGGCAGCAGTGCAGCGGGCATCAAGTCATGACCCTGGACAAGATGTAGTAGAGCTGGCAGAAGCACCAGATTTCGGAACCACGATCGCATTGCTGGTATTCATTAGTCATCATTAATAAAACCAAGCTGCTTGCGTGGCTCGCATGGGTTCTCGAGTTGCAGACCCTGCATCAGGTTGAGGCAAAAGTGGATGCAGCCTGGCTTTATGGACATGCTGCCAAGGAGCCCTTGTCGCATTCCTTGTAGGGTAGACCAGCTAAGCATCCCGGTCGACAAAACGCTCGCATCTGGAGAAACAGGCTGTGCTTGGTGGATGATTCTGGATGAGAGTTGATCTGGTGATGTCTTGTGATTCTCCGGCGTTGGTTGCATTTGCACTTTCTATGCCACGCTTCGTTTGGCTTGTGGTTCAGATTTGCTCGTGTTTGGAGTGGCTGAGAACTTGTTGTAGCGTTCATCACTGCTCAGCGCATTTGGTGTTAGCTCGAGTAGTAAGGCAAACCACGAAAGCTGCCTCCTTGGAGGATCCTGAGCGTGCTGGCTTCTTTCCAGAAAATCGTGTACGCCGTTTAGGCTTGGTCGGTTGCGGTTTTGGTTTTGCTGGCTTCGCAATGTGTCCAAAGCACATGTCGGCTGCCAGGAATCATGGTGCCATCGCAACCGCCTCCACTGGCGAAGCAAGGTTTTCCAGAGCGTGGTTTCGAGGCGACCCGGCAGCCCACGCAAGTCATCGGAATGTCTGAGGCATGGCAGCGAGGCCAGGAGCAGACACCATAAAAGGGTGGAAAGGCGGCAAAGCACGCAGGCGCTATGCTAGCGCTCGAAATCCCTCGCAGCTGCAGTATGTCTATTGAGTCTATTGCGTTTGCCCAGGTGAAGGCCAAGAGCAGCTACCAGCCTGAGGACGCCTTGGAGGACACCGAGGGGATAGGAGAAGATTAAGAATGTGTTGCCGTGGCCTCTGCGCAAGCGTGCGGCCATGTCATCGGATCCACAAGAGGAGGTCCAAGCAAATCGTAGGTAAATTGCTGTGATACAGTCTGCCGCTGTCGCATATAGGCCAAGAGATTCTTGAGAGTCCTTGCTGGCGACTTCTTGGAAATCTTGCGCGCGTCGGAAGGCAGGGCAAGTTCATGCTGCAGGACTCTACTGCATGTCTTCTCTGCTTCTCCACCTCTAGTGTAAGCGTGGCAGATCGCACTTTTCGGGCACAGTTGCCCGAGTCACGGCAGACCTGCACTCAGGCTGGTTGTATGGCCGCACGCTGAAGGTTGGAAAATGCTGGAAACATGAGCATGTGGTTGGCCGCAAGAGTTATGAGGTTGAAGTTGAGGGCCGCAGTCAACCAACGCCTGCTTGGCAAGTCTTCACCATCGCAAAGCTGTGCTCGAATCAGGGTTTCTCAAAAACAACAGGCAGCCTAGCCGTTTGAGAGAGGTTCCCAAAGGGTTGGAGAACTGGCACCATCGACAACGCAAAAGTTTCTCCACTGCTGGCAACAGAAGAAGATCGGGATGTGGCGATTGAGGCTGCACTTATGTGAAGTGCCTTGCTGTTGCCGCTAATTATTTAAATATGATCGCATATGACCACAAAGATGCGGCACTTTTCACTACGCACTATTCAAGCTTGGCATGGGGTTGCTGTGCTCTTCTTCCGTGGATCAGGCGCCCACTGAGTTTGGCTTCTTCCCCGAGACATGCCTTGCAGAGCTGAAGCCGCCCTCGGTCCCTGTCTCAGTGTCAGAGTTCCACAGAGTGCCACTCTGAGATCTCAGATCTGCGCACTCAGGACCAGGCTGCTGCCTGCGCTGGGCCGCGGCTTGCCGCCGCCGGGACGGCTTCCTGGACGGAAGGCCGACACCATCAACTCGCCGTCGACACTGCAAGAATAGGAACCTTACAGCGCATGTTGCATAGTAGTTTCAACACACTAAGTTAGGCGGCTCAGGTTCTGTCCATTCCAGCCCCTGCCTCCGTGTTCCAATCAGTGTTACTTGCTCGAGTATGCACAGGCGCACAAGCTTTCGAGCCAGATAGAGCTCAAGAGCCGAATGCACCAAGCCGATCGCAAGGGAAGCCAGCCAGGACCCATTTTAGAAGAGACAATTCACCTGCTTAGCCTGCTTCCCTAAGCATGTCTCAGACGGCGCTTTTGCCGACCAGGAGCTTCTCGCGCCAGCTGACAAGTGCGATTGCATCCACACTTTGCACGGGTTCATTTGAGGTCAACAGATCCTAAAGTTTGTTGATGCTGGTGGCTCGTATGAAAGCATGCCGTGTCCCGACATGTCTGTACAGTCTCCATTTTTGTGCGTCTGCAGAGTTTTTGCGACATAGAAGACGCTTGCAACCGGCTGCATGGCACATGCTTAGCATGACAGCTTATCCGATGTTCGGCAATCGGGGCTTGGTACAGTCGGCTCCCGAAGGTTGCTGCTGGGCCCCAAGTGAAGATTGAACGATTATTATCCTGCCCCGATGACTCAGGCAAATCATCTAATGCAAACTGCTGCTGCTACAGGTATCAGCTCTGAGCTTGGAAGGCCGAGTAGAATCATGGAACCCACAAGTCCAACCGCCAAGCGGGACTGAGTGGGACTTCGACCGTCCCGAGAAGTACAAAGAACCGTGCTGCAACGATGTACGCTTCGATTTCGCCGTCGTTGCGGAACTCTTCCCACCTGACTCTTATGGCCAAGTGTCGATGTTGAGTTATCCCGCAGCATTCATCAGGGCTTCAGCCTCCGCCAG